GAAAGCAAAAGCACTTTATTTGGCCTTCCAGAAGTAGATGCATTTGAAGATTACTTACAACAGAACAGCAATGCATTTTATGGACGATCGTGAACCTAGGAGAGGAGGTAATTCTGACTTTGCTATGACAATCTGGCGCTTCTGAATCAGCTACCGTTTTGTTATTAGTTTAAGTATTTGCTATTGACTGTTCAAATGCGGAGTTGACCCCTTTAAAGCGTCATGGCAGAGCATTGAAGTCGACTAGTCAGGTACAACCGACTATATATATATATATATATATATATATTCAAATGAAAATGGCAACATCGTTTTATAAAGTATATGCCTTCGTGATTGGGGGGGGGGACCTGTGATATTTAATATACTTTATATTTTAAAGTATATTAAAATAGAAAACTTTTATTTTAAATTGCAATAATATTTCACAATATTATTTTGTGAAATAATATTCAGTATTTGTATCAAATAGATACAGCCTTGATGAGCTTAAGAAACTTCTTTAATAAACATTATTGATCCCAAACTTTTGAATGGTAGTGTATTATACTGTAAAAAAAACAAAATTACATAATTTAGTCACGGGTAAATACAAATAGCACATTAAAGTTAAAAGTTACACACTTTTTTTTGTGCGCGTTGTACAGGTCTGGTATAAAGAATGTTTTTGCTCTTTTGGCCGAAATGTCCGCCCAATAGAGAAAAGGTTTGCTCAGCAAGAAAAAAAATTAGAGGGAACATTGCTCACGGTTATAAAATAGACTTCATTTTCGCTACTAAAAATATAATTTCCTGTTTTTTGTTTGATTTTGGGCTGAGATATGATGTGGACAGCTTTGTGAGATTCACCCAAGAAATTTGGTCTCCCACAACCACAAACATGATTTGATTTTCAAATGAGAGCGAACGGCCGACACAGAGGTTGACCCTGCTGTCTGGAATGAATATTATTTATTTATAGGATTCTCAGAATCCATGTTTAATTTTCATGAAGGCCACATCATGAAATAAAAACAGCCGCTTTGTTTCTGTGAGCGAAAGAAACAGGCAAAATCAAGGTGTATGTGATCGATAAATAAGAGTCAAAGAGACGGACAGGCAATCTGATTTGATGAAGACAGGCAGAAAGGTGGTTGATATGCACAGACGGCTCTCTGCTCTTGTAATTGGAGGTCAGTGCATCTCCCATGTGCAGTGGATTGATTTCAGTAACATTTCCCCTCATTTATTTTCCTCTTACACAAAGATCAAGCCTCCGTCTCTAGATGCATCACCAAGATTCAGTGTCACTGGCTTTTACAGGATTAGCATCCATCTCTGTCTGTCGCTCTCACCATGGTTCACACAGTCAGCTTTTGAGATTGACAACTGTATTTGCTAATGGATGGGACTCTCAGACTGGGTGGAAGATAGAATAATGTTTATATGTAGTTAACAAGTCAATTCGTAATACCATACCAATAGGTATTGATTATTTTGTATGTCCGCCAATCAATACTCAACAGGAAAATGTTATTGCTCTACGTCCACAAGTCAATGCTATTTTCTTAAAATTAAGTCCCTGTTCTGCTTTTAATCGCAACCACAACTTTGAGTAAATGAGGCTTTCTATAGAATATGCCAGATTCATTAGTCACTGACATTCGCCTCACGTAATTAATGTTGCATTAGCACTTGTGGAAAGCAGTAGTAGTAATGCTGTACAGTCCAGAGTTTGACATTAGCATGCTGCCAAGCTAACAAGCGGAAAAATAAGGACCATGCACAAATTTTGGGTAAAATTGCTGTTTTTAATTATGCTGAACTATTTTTAACGGTTCTTTTCCTACTGAGCTGGTTGCAGTGCATTCTGGGATTGGAAACATGCCAAAATAAGTTATCTTAGGAGGCAGCATAATAATGCCGTCTGTCTTTGAGAACAGTTTTAACATCAAGGACCCACCTATAATGCCTTCAAATTCTGCTTATGTTGCCAGCTTACTAGTTTTTCGGGGCGAAGTCAACATGTCTGATGCTGTCGGTAAAGCTTGCATTGTTTTGAACCTGAAACATTCCTCTAAGGTTTCAGTAGGATGTTTATAGATAGTGAATTCATACGCGGAAACGTTGCGTAAAGCATTAGCTTGCTTTACCTTTTGTGTCTGTATTTTTAGTGCATATGCTGCATTTGTTTATGGTGTACGTGTGTGTGCATTTCTCAAGCTGATAGTGAGTTGTCTTCAGGGATTATAGCGTTGTCCAAAACCTAGTGATGTGCCAAATAGACTTTTTGCAAAGGCTGTTCCAAAATGTATGCAGAAACATTATGCAGCCTTTTAAGATACTTTGTTTGGTGGACTGCAGCATTGCATGTATACTAAATTAATTCAGCTTGAGAGAGATGTCAGCATACTTCAATATAAATTCTTATGTTTAATTTAATATTGAAAGATATCAAATATAGTTGAAATTGTGAACATTTATGCTTATTAGATTAAGGGCCAGTTTTACTAACAGCTTTTGGCATTAAAATATTACTGTCAGGTTTTACCAAAGACACGCAGAGACGAATTAGCGCTGAAAAGGCATGGACATAGTTATTTTTGCGACTGACCTTATTGAATATGCATTTGTAGGAGTTTCCCTTTCTGACGCAAAATTTATGGGAGGGGAGTAATAAAATTAATGAAGCAACGAGATTTACTAAAGTTTGCGCTCGTCAAATTACTGGTATTTGTGGCATTATTTAACGCCCAAAAAAGCATGCCTTAAACTATTTTGTGCTTGAAATGGCTGCAATTATTGTTGCTAGAGGAAGCACCGCAGAAAACAGAGAGTGCGTGGTAGAAGGGAGAGAATTTTTTCCACACGTTTCAATTTATTTGGAATGCCAGAAGAACAAATTATCCGAACATATAGTTTGCCAAGTCATGTTATTTTTAATTTGCTTCAGGAAATAAAAGACGACTTGGAACCCTCAACTAGGAGTCACGCAATACCAGATCTATCAATTTGCAACCCTTCATTTTTTAGCCTCCGGTTCTTTTCAACGTACTGTGGCTTCTTTATTTCTTTATTCTTTATTTGCGTCTACACTTATTTGTGCCGCGCTTGGTATATTATATTATACATTATTGGTCAATATGTAAATGAGATGTTGGGTCTGTGTTCTTTAATTTTGCGCATTGTTAGTAAATCACCCGCAGAAATTTCCACACTCATCTGTGCTGTTTTGGAATTGCGCTCTCGTGCTAATTTGCCCCGTTTAGTAAAACTGGCCCTAATATTCTAAATTGTTAGCAACATGGAAGCCTGTTGGAAGCCATTGTGATTTGTGTCTCCTGTACACTCCATGTGAGGAGCAATATTTGTGTTGAGCCGTTTTGCAATGTGTTTCAAATAGTTATATTTGTAATGAATTCACATAAGAGATTTAACAAGATACTATTGCTATTTCTTTCTGTCTTGTAGCTGACGTATCTCCCTCCTCCATGGGGCGACTGTAAGGCAACACCCATGGACTCTGATTTCTTCAACACATACAGTATCACCGCCTGCCGCATCGACTGCGAGACACGATACCTGGTGGAGAATTGCAACTGCCGCATGGTGCACATGCCCGGTAAACACACACACCCAGTAATGTATCAACAAAACCAGATAAATGATGTCTGCAATGTTATAAATCTATATCTGCTATTCTCTTCTGAACACCAACAGACAAAGCACCAATATGTCTCCTGAAGTTCATAATTTTGGGTTTGATTCCGTAGCCTAATTCTCAATTAAACACCCTAAAATCTTAAATTAGTAGCTACAATGATAGAAGTTTGTGAGAATCTCATTTCCCACAGTCTCATCTTTTTTTAGTGTCTCTACTAGTGTGTTCTGCCCAGCAGTTATTTACTAAATTAACAAATTCATTGCTAATTCTTGTGGTTTGTTATTCAGAACAAAATGTTTTCAAGCTGTTGCTTTTCAAGCCTATGATTATTTAAACCCTCGCCGTGCCCTAAAGCTGTTTAGCATGTTATCTTGCTTAAATTCTAGTTGCTAGTTTTTGGCTTAGTGAAAGTAAGAGGATTTAAACCTGAGCGAGTAGAAAACCATAATTTTATGCAGCCCTGTTAGGATCCAGCACCCCACTGAGTTCTGTACGTCTGTTTGAAATACGGCCCTCTGATCATCTCTAAAGACTAGATCTGAGCTGCGTCAAACAGGGATTTGCTGTATCTTCAACGCCATCTACACTTTGACATAACTGGAATGCTCTGGTTATAATCAACAAAGCTGTCTCCACTGCATGCAGACAACATTGTAATCAACAGGAACATCACAGACAGTATCTTTGTAGACCTCTTTTTTCATTATAACTATAGACTTGTAGCCAACTTTATTGATTTTAACAGAGCCTTGTTGATAAGCAAACTAGTTCATTATTACAAGAACATTCTAATTTTGTCGCATCACTTGCTTACACGGTCTAGACATGTTTTTTCATTCAGCGTCTCGTTGATTGTATGCGCTCTTTCTCTCACTGCAAGAGTCCTTGAGCTATTCGAGGAAACTTCAAGACCTGAATAAATACAATTAATTAAAAGAGGAAATCTGATTTTTGAGGAGATGCTCAGAGCTGATAACAACAGCGTGATGGACGGCGACACGTTTTAATTAACAGACAGAGGCCATTTCCTTTCACCTTTAGCCAGAACATTGTGTTCTTCTCTCTCCGCGGCACATCTTTCGTTCTTTATCCTCACGCTTTTCTTAAAGGGTAACTTGCAGAAAAATACATTCAGCTCTTATTTCACCCCAAATTCAAAAGCAGATAATAAGAAAATGCATTATGCATGAAGAAAATCGGGCCTATTTTGTATAGTAACTATTATTTGCATCACAATTAAGCACATTTCTCATCACTTTAATGAGTGTGGGCATTTTACCTTAGGGTTTGTTTGTAATTCTCATTATTCTTAATGATGTTTCTCATTAGATTCTCATTACTGTAATAAAGTCACAAAAATCCTCTCGTCTCTTTTTATTGACATCAGCATAAATTAAAGACTGCACACAAATACTACTATACTGTATATACTTCATCATTTAAATAGATACTTTTAGAAAATGTTGTTTTTGAGGTAAGGTTAGGACAGCAAGATTTGTAATGTTTTTAAAGAATTCTCTTCTGCTCACCAAGTCTGCATTTATTTGATCCAAAATACTGCAAAAACAGTAATATTGTGAAATATTTTTACTATATAAAATAACTGCTTTCTATTTGAATCTATTTTAAAATGTAATTTATTCCTGTGATTTCAAAGCTGAATTTTAGCGTCATTACTCCAGTCACATGATCCTTCAGAAATCATTCTAATATTCTGATTTGCTGCTCAAAAACATTTCATTATTATGTTGAAAACTGCTAAATAGAATGTTTTTAGGTTTCTTTGATGAATAGACAATTCAGAAGAACAGTGTTTAACTGAAATATAAATCTTTTGTAACATTATAAATGTCTTTATCATCACTTATATATATAAAAAAAATTTTTTGCTTGATTATAAAACATGTTTGGGGCATTATGATTTGTATTTTTTGCACTGTGAACTTTTTATGGCAAAAACAAACTGTACTGCCTAATTTATGCTAGTTTTTTTTTTCTTAAAATTAAGTCCCTGTTCTGCTTTTAATCGCAACCACAACTTTGAGTAAATGAGGCTTTCTATAGAATATGCCAGATTCATTAGTCACTGACATTCGCCTCACGTAATTAATGTTGCATTAGCACTTGTGGAAAGCAGTAGTAGTAATGCTGTACAGTCCAGAGTTTGACATTAGCATGCTGCCAAGCTAACAAGCGGAAAAATAAGGACCATGCACAAATTTTGGGTAAAATTGCTGTTTTTAATTATGCTGAACTATTTTTAACGGTTCTTTTCCTACTGAGCTGGTTGCAGTGCATTCTGGGATTGGAAACATGCCAAAATAAGTTATCTTAGGAGGCAGCATAATAATGCCGTCTGTCTTTGAGAACAGTTTTAACATCAAGGACCCACCTATAATGCCTTCAAATTCTGCTTATGTTGCCAGCTTACTAGTTTTTCGGGGCGAAGTCAACATGTCTGATGCTGTCGGTAAAGCTTGCATTGTTTTGAACCTGAAACATTCCTCTAAGGTTTCAGTAGGATGTTTATAGATAGTGAATTCATACGCGGAAACGTTGCGTAAAGCATTAGCTTGCTTTACCTTTTGTGTCTGTATTTTTAGTGCATATGCTGCATTTGTTTATGGTGTACGTGTGTGTGCATTTCTCAAGCTGATAGTGAGTTGTCTTCAGGGATTATAGCGTTGTCCAAAACCTAGTGATGTGCCAAATAGACTTTTTGCAAAGGCTGTTCCAAAATGTATGCAGAAACATTATGCAGCCTTTTAAGATACTTTGTTTGGTGGACTGCAGCATTGCATGTATACTAAATTAATTCAGCTTGAGAGAGATGTCAGCATACTTCAATATAAATTCTTATGTTTAATTTAATATTGAAAGATATCAAATATAGTTGAAATTGTGAACATTTATGCTTATTAGATTAAGGGCCAGTTTTACTAACAGCTTTTGGCATTAAAATATTACTGTCAGGTTTTACCAAAGACACGCAGAGACGAATTAGCGCTGAAAAGGCATGGACATAGTTATTTTTGCGACTGACCTTATTGAATATGCATTTGTAGGAGTTTCCCTTTCTGACGCAAAATTTATGGGAGGGGAGTAATAAAATTAATGAAGCAACGAGATTTACTAAAGTTTGCGCTCGTCAAATTACTGGTATTTGTGGCATTATTTAACGCCCAAAAAAGCATGCCTTAAACTATTTTGTGCTTGAAATGGCTGCAATTATTGTTGCTAGAGGAAGCACCGCAGAAAACAGAGAGTGCGTGGTAGAAGGGAGAGAATTTTTTCCACACGTTTCAATTTATTTGGAATGCCAGAAGAACAAATTATCCGAACATATAGTTTGCCAAGTCATGTTATTTTTAATTTGCTTCAGGAAATAAAAGACGACTTGGAACCCTCAACTAGGAGTCACGCAATACCAGATCTATCAATTTGCAACCCTTCATTTTTTAGCCTCCGGTTCTTTTCAACGTACTGTGGCTTCTTTATTTCTTTATTCTTTATTTGCGTCTACACTTATTTGTGCCGCGCTTGGTATATTATATTATACATTATTGGTCAATATGTAAATGAGATGTTGGGTCTGTGTTCTTTAATTTTGCGCATTGTTAGTAAATCACCCGCAGAAATTTCCACACTCATCTGTGCTGTTTTGGAATTGCGCTCTCGTGCTAATTTGCCCCGTTTAGTAAAACTGGCCCTAATATTCTAAATTGTTAGCAACATGGAAGCCTGTTGGAAGCCATTGTGATTTGTGTCTCCTGTACACTCCATGTGAGGAGCAATATTTGTGTTGAGCCGTTTTGCAATGTGTTTCAAATAGTTATATTTGTAATGAATTCACATAAGAGATTTAACAAGATACTATTGCTATTTCTTTCTGTCTTGTAGCTGACGTATCTCCCTCCTCCATGGGGCGACTGTAAGGCAACACCCATGGACTCTGATTTCTTCAACACATACAGTATCACCGCCTGCCGCATCGACTGCGAGACACGATACCTGGTGGAGAATTGCAACTGCCGCATGGTGCACATGCCCGGTAAACACACACACACCCAGTAATGTATCAACAAAACCAGATAAATGATGTCTGCAATGTTATAAATCTATATCTGCTATTCTCTTCTGAACACCAACAGACAAAGCACCAATATGTCTCCTGAAGTTCATAATTTTGGGTTTGATTCCGTAGCCTAATTCTCAATTAAACACCCTAAAATCTTAAATTAGTAGCTACAATGATAGAAGTTTGTGAGAATCTCATTTCCCACAGTCTCATCTTTTTTTAGTGTCTCTACTAGTGTGTTCTGCCCAGCAGTTATTTACTAAATTAACAAATTCATTGCTAATTCTTGTGGTTTGTTATTCAGAACAAAATGTTTTCAAGCTGTTGCTTTTCAAGCCTATGATTATTTAAACCCTCGCCGTGCCCTAAAGCTGTTTAGCATGTTATCTTGCTTAAATTCTAGTTGCTAGTTTTTGGCTTAGTGAAAGTAAGAGGATTTAAACCTGAGCGAGTAGAAAACCATAATTTTATGCAGCCCTGTTAGGATCCAGCACCCCACTGAGTTCTGTACGTCTGTTTGAAATACGGCCCTCTGATCATCTCTAAAGACTAGATCTGAGCTGCGTCAAACAGGGATTTGCTGTATCTTCAACGCCATCTACACTTTGACATAACTGGAATGCTCTGGTTATAATCAACAAAGCTGTCTCCACTGCATGCAGACAACATTGTAATCAACAGGAACATCACAGACAGTATCTTTGTAGACCTCTTTTTTCATTATAACTATAGACTTGTAGCCAACTTTATTGATTTTAACAGAGCCTTGTTGATAAGCAAACTAGTTCATTATTACAAGAACATTCTAATTTTGTCGCATCACTTGCTTACACGGTCTAGACATGTTTTTTCATTCAGCGTCTCGTTGATTGTATGCGCTCTTTCTCTCACTGCAAGAGTCCTTGAGCTATTCGAGGAAACTTCAAGACCTGAATAAATACAATTAATTAAAAGAGGAAATCTGATTTTTGAGGAGATGCTCAGAGCTGATAACAACAGCGTGATGGACGGCGACACGTTTTAATTAACAGACAGAGGCCATTTCCTTTCACCTTTAGCCAGAACATTGTGTTCTTCTCTCTCCGCGGCACATCTTTCGTTCTTTATCCTCACGCTTTTCTTAAAGGGTAACTTGCAGAAAAATACATTCAGCTCTTATTTCACCCCAAATTCAAAAGCAGATAATAAGAAAATGCATTATGCATGAAGAAAATCGGGCCTATTTTGTATAGTAACTATTATTTGCATCACAATTAAGCACATTTCTCATCACTTTAATGAGTGTGGGCATTTTACCTTAGGGTTTGTTTGTAATTCTCATTATTCTTAATGATGTTTCTCATTAGATTCTCATTACTGTAATAAAGTCACAAAAATCCTCTCGTCTCTTTTTATTGACATCAGCATAAATTAAAGACTGCACACAAATACTACTATACTGTATATACTTCATCATTTAAATAGATACTTTTAGAAAATGTTGTTTTTGAGGTAAGGTTAGGACAGCAAGATTTGTAATGTTTTTAAAGAATTCTCTTCTGCTCACCAAGTCTGCATTTATTTGATCCAAAATACTGCAAAAACAGTAATATTGTGAAATATTTTTACTATATAAAATAACTGCTTTCTATTTGAATCTATTTTAAAATGTAATTTATTCCTGTGATTTCAAAGCTGAATTTTAGCGTCATTACTCCAGTCACATGATCCTTCAGAAATCATTCTAATATTCTGATTTGCTGCTCAAAAACATTTCATTATTATGTTGAAAACTGCTAAATAGAATGTTTTTAGGTTTCTTTGATGAATAGACAATTCAGAAGAACAGTGTTTAACTGAAATATAAATCTTTTGTAACATTATAAATGTCTTTATCATCACTTATATATATAAAAAAAATTTTTTGCTTGATTATAAAACATGTTTGGGGCATTATGATTTGTATTTTTTGCACTGTGAACTTTTTATGGCAAAAACAAACTGTACTGCCTAATTTATGCTAGTTTTTTTTTTTCAATATATAAAATTGCACTGTACTGTAGATGTTTCTGGGAGCCATCTTTGCTTATATAGGCTGTGTTTCTCTGTCTTTAGGAGATGCTCCATATTGCACTCCGGAACAGTATAAGGAATGTGCAGATCCGGCTCTAGGTGAGAAATTTGCCGCCTCTGTTGAAACGTTTCAGTCTAGAGGCCAGTTCTCCTCGCTGAACCCATCCGCTCCTCATTACTGATGTCTGAACCTGAGGCCATGATGGGACAGCACAATTTATGACCCCTTCTAACCTCACCACCCACTTCCCCAGGCCTTTTTATACTTCATCATCTGTCCCGTTGTTTTTCCAGCCAGGATTTTTGAGGTTAAGAGAAATGTTCTACCTTTTTCTCTGGCTCTAGATTTTCTGGTGGAAAGAGACAATGACTACTGCGTTTGCGACACGCCCTGCAACATGACGCGCTACGGAAAAGAGTTGTCCTTCGTCAAGATCCCCAGCAAAGCCTCTGCCAAATACCTGGCCAAGAAGTACAACAAGACGGAGCAGTACATTGCGTGAGTTTCACTTAAATTAGGGGTGCTCCGATTGATTGGCTACCGATCACTATCGGCCGATAATCGCTTTGGGATGATTGACCGGCGGTCTCTAAAAAGGCAGATCTCAAAAAAATGATCTCAAGCTGATGACGCTGCCATGAGAGGTTTGGCACGACATGCCGATGCGCCATCTCAGTCTCTGTATGGCGCGGGTGAAATAATTATAATGCTATATTTCTTCATTAAATAACTTATAATGTAATTTGAAAACCTCGTGTGAGACGTAACTTCACAAACAGCGTGAGTGAATCACCACGCGCTCTCTCTCTCTCTCAAAAATACACAAATGGCTTCAAATCACCACACATCGCGTCTGTCTATAAGCGAGCTGGACACTGCAGTTGACACAGGTCGAGGTAGTGTCACATCGTCACTAAAGTTTATAAATTGCATTACTTTTTAATTCTTGCCAGTGTTTAGCCATTCAGCACTCGCACGCTCTCCTGAAAACCGTGCGCTCATGCACACTCACATACATAATGCCAGGTTCACATTACTCAGTTTGCAGTGCGTATGCGGTGCGTAGTGCTGGGCGGTATACCAGTTCATACCGAATACCGGTGTTTATTTTTGTTATGATATGAATTTTTAAAATACCGCATACGCAACAGTATGTTGCTTAAACAATGTTTGGAACGCGACACTGTTTGAAAGGGGTCCCTTTTCACTGTTGCACTGTGGTGAGGGAACAGCTGTATGTGTTACTAAGCATGAAAGTTCCGAAACTGAAGCTGTAGAACTAATAAAATAGAACGTAATGACACAGAAGAACTCATCCACAATATCCACATTGACCACCACAAATATCCACCGCCCCCTGCCATCAGCTCCCGCGTCTCACACACACGAGCGCGACTTTAGCAACATTCAGACCCTTTTAGTGGCTTTTTTCCATAGAATATTCATACTGACAAACCTAGCGACTTTTTTGGATAAAACTTAGCTATGGTTCAGTTGGAAGATTTTGCCAGTGCTGTCCCACGAACACGAGGTCTGACTTTCCCGGAGAAGTGTCACCTCTCTCTGCGTCTGTTCTGTGCAGTGAGCGGCAGAGAAGCAGCGCATTCAGTTGGCCGCACCGCAGCCGACTCGTCAATAAATGAGTACAAAACAGCGTTTCCTAGCACCTGTCAGCAAACTGATTGCTTGGAATTATAAATATGAGCGTAGTTCGTCTGTTAATATCACATGCAATTTTGTTTGTTGTTTTTTTAGTTTGTTACTCAGATGCAGGCAGTGCGCTGCATGAGCCAAAAAGGAAATATAGCCAAAACAACCACATAGCCGCTCTTTAGTGTAGATGCATGTTGATTTTATCCGACGATGCCGCGATTATAAATGAGAGTGACTCCTGGTTAACATT